CCCCCCCCCAACACCAGAAAAGCTGAAAAGATTTGAGAAACTCCACTGTGCTTGCCTGGACTAAAACACACCCATCTTATGAATATGTATCAGTAAGAGTATAAAGAGTGGTGGGTTTGTTTACGCTTTGTTGTAGCGCATGGGCATCCTTGGTCTGTCGGTGCAGAGCAGAAAACCCCCCGCTCCCTGGAGTACTGAACCTTTTTTTGTTTTGCTTGTTCTCGTTTCAATAAAATCATAAAAGTGATTTTCTGATTCTGTCTCTGCATTTATAAAACCATGAATAGGATGCATAACTTTTTTTTTAAAAATGAAATTAATTGGATGAAGAACCAGAATTAGGAACCAGAAGTGATAGCTCATTGATGCATCATAAAAATGAATCATTGCATCTGTGATCAGGTGAATGAGAGATAGGATGTGTTCATGGACATTCTATTTTATTAAATAAATTTTTGATATGTAACTCTTATGTACTGAAGAGTCTGATTGACTTTTAAGGGGGATTTCCATCTCTATGAATTTAGATCTTGTACAATCTAGATTATAGCCAGTAGACAAAGACAGTGATACAAACACTTAAAATTAGTTTGAATTTAGGACATGATCCATTGATCTTTGTGATCCTTAGAGACTTTTCTGCAGCATGCTTTTTAGAAAGTTTTTCTACAGTTTTTCTACACCAAAAAGATTCAGACTTTCTATATCCTCACAACTCAGCTGCAGAACAAAAGACCTACCATCACACATTGTATCATTTTAATTAATGATATATCTAAAATATGTATGGATAAATCAGCTAAAAATAATTACAAAGTCTCCAATGCTCTCTTTTCTTTTGGTATGTTCTTCTTTCCAGAGTCATCCTTCCACTTTTGACTCCTTTTGCAAGATTTACACGCTGCTCTTTTGCTATTATGTCTGGCTGTAAATAAAGTAGATCACTGTGTTACTTTCAGAAAAATATCACCTGTCTTGCTTGATTTATCACTCTCAATTTTTTTTCTTCCTATAGAGATGTTTGAATTTACTGTTACTGATACTGTACATGAAGGGAAACGCTTTGGAGGTGGCAGCTAGTGTCGGAGTCACAGCTACCATGTTACAGAGCACGGGGAAGACGGAATTAAGTACCTGGTCATTTGACTGGGCTGGTTTGCATTTATTTTCAGTTTGCTTTGAGTGCCAGTCATCACTGTCTAACCTTGCTACCACGGTTACTGATGGTGTTCCCACTCTCCTAACCAGGCTGTTTCTGGCTTTGTTGCTCTCAGCCAGGACTCAGTGTGCCAGGAGGGGTGGGAGACATTCAGGTCTCATCAGCTGTGGAAGATACCATGCCCCAAGGACCCAGCTGAAGCAGGCATCCCTCCAATGCCTGCCCCTGTATTAACTGCAAGAGCTTTCACACACCTGTCTTGGGTTTGCACAGCAAGGTTTTAGTAGTAAGGGGGCTACAGGGAGGACTTCTGTGAGAAGTTGCTAGAAGCTTTTGCTATGTCTGACAGAGCCAATGTCAGTTCACTCCAAGATGGACCCGTTATGGCCAAGGCCCAGCCCATCAGCAAAGGTGGCAGCTCCTTTCTGGTAATGTATTTAAGAAGGCAGAAAAGCTGCTGTGCAACAGCAGCTGGAGAGAGGAGTGAGAACATGTGAGAGAAAGAACTTTGTATGCACCAAGGTCAGTGAAGAAGAAGAAGGAGGAGGTGCTCCAGGTGTCACAGCAGAAATTCCCCTGCAGCCCGTGGTGAAGACCCTGGAGAGGCAGGCTGTGCCCCTGCAGCCCATGGAGGTCCGCAGTGGAGCAGAGATCCACTCACAACATGGAGGACCTCACGATGGAGCAGGTGGATGCCCAAAGGAGGCTGTGACCCCATAGGAAGCCCCCACTGGATCAGGTTTCTGGCAGGACCTGTGGAGAGAGGAGCCCACACTGGAGCAGGTTTGCTGGCAGGACTTGTGACCCCATGAGGGACCCACGCTGGAGCAGTCTGTGCCTGAAGAACTGCACCCTGTGGAAGTAAGCCACACTGGAGCAGGGGAAAAGTGTGAGGATTCCTCTCCCTGAGGAGGAAGAAGCGGCAGAGACAACCTGTGATGAACTGACCACAACCCCCATTCGATGTCCCCTGTGCTGCTCAGGGTGAGGAGTTAGAGAAAATCAGGAGTGAAGTTGAGTCTGTGAAGAAGGAAGTTGTGGGATGAATTTCTCATTATCGTACTCTGATTTGACTGGTAATAAATTGAACTAATTTCCCCAAGTCGAGTGTTTTGCCTGTGACAGTAATTGGTGAGTGATCTCTCCTTATCTCAACCTATGAGACTTCTGTTATACTTTCTCTCCCCTGTTCAGCTGAGGAGGGGCAATGATAGAGCAGCTTGATGGACACCTGACATCCAGCCAGAGTCAACCCACCACAACACTGCTGACACAGAAACCACCTTCAAGGCAGACTCCCTCTACTGTTAGCAGTCACCCAACCAAGACACACCCTCTACTGTTGCACATACAACTGGCTGTACAAACCTCTCATGGAGACCCAGTGTGCTCCTTCCATCTGGATGAGCTACCTAAGCATGTCCCACATCTGTTGCAATGGAGAAGAGAAAGGGGCTGGTTTTCACCCTGGTGTTTTCAGAAAGGAGTCTTGGCTTTTCTGTGTTCTGGGGAGCCCACTTATCCCAGGGCACATTGCCCTGCTGAAAACCCAGAGGTATGCTAAAAGGACCTAGAGATGGGTGGGAGTAGGTGGCTGCACAGCCAAATGAGCTGGCATAATGCATGAGAGCAATCTGACTGCAGGGCCTGGCTGTGACCTCAAGCAGAAGGGATTTTACAAGAGGACTGAAACAGTACCTGTTTTCTTGTACAGTGCAAAAATAGCAACCAGAAGTGGTGTCAGCTATCTAGTTCTTCAATATTATTTCTGAAAATTCTTCTCCCCTCTACTATTTTTTCTCTCATAGCAAGTGATTGTATAAATGTAAAGTTTGAAAAGATGCTCTCACTAAGATTAAAGTTAAGAAGAAGAGTTTCTTAACTCTCTATTACAGTCTTACTACACACGCAATGATCTAGCCCTCCTTCTAGAAAGGGAACATGCCATGCTGTGCTTAAACTGTCTCTAAAAAGGTAATAGCTACTGTTTGACTGAATTAACACTAAAGAAGAGGATTTATCCAACTGTGATCTTTTTTTTCCAAGTTCACCTTTACCATAGTCCTAGTTTTCATTTACTTTCACTAGGGATCTAAAGTTTGTTACATCCAGGACAAGAAATGCCCATCATCAGTGAGAAAAGTAATGATTAAGAATATGTTTTATCGTCATCATTTAGAACTACGTCTCTCCAAAAGCACGTGACCCCTTTTGTTCTTAAAAAAGACTGATTATTTTCTTGATATTTTTAACTTTGATTTTTTACTGACTGCATTCCATCTTACTTTGCTCAAGGATAGAAGGGCTGCACAGTTCTTTATAATTGTTTTTGATGTCATCTTCGTGTAATACAAAATCTTGTGGGTTTTTTTTTTTCTTCAGAAAAAAAGAAAAAGAAAAAAGCCTCTAGGCATTCTGTACTCCAAATGGTGTATCGTTTATATGTTTACAAAACTTTCCTCTCATAATTTATGAAATTACTTATGTTCTTCACTTCCCTATAGAAAGTATTCTTTAGCTGGATCCAGTAGATATAACTTACAGTGCTAGCTGAACATGAAATTATTCAAAGTCTCCATTTTGGATTAGCTATGAGAGCAAAGACAAAGTTCTGGTTCCAATGAAATCCTTAGGAGTTTTAAAAATGTTTTAAAGGCATCAGATTTTATTCCAAAAGTTGATATTCATATCTAGGTGAAATCAATATACTAGGCTGAAGCCTCACATCATATTGCTATCCTCATCATCTACTTGTATTACCTGAGAACCTGGAGCCTCCATTCTAGATTAATCAGTGTGTAAAAATCAGATGTTCTCTGCTTCAAGGGATGGATGCAGACAGGATACTACAAAGAAACTAGAAAATACTGTTCAGGAGGAGACGTGATGGTATCATCATGACAGTACCAAATGGATGTCATATCAGTACAAGAACTTAGAGGACAGTAAATTAGAAATGGCTATGCAGAACATCTCCAAAGTGGAAGGGCCAAATACATGAGTTAAACCAGAGTTTTGAAGGTGTTGTATGTGCAGAAATTGTGCCAGATGAACAGGAAAAGCAGTGTCCAGAAGAAAGTCAGAGGAAATATATTCTCCAAAGTTTATGAAGCTTACAGAATCACTGAATCATCTAGGTTGGAAAGGACCTTGAAGATTACCTAGTCCAACCATTAACCTAACAATGACAGTTCTCAACTACACCAGATCCCTCAGTGCTAAGTTGACCTGACTCTTAAACACCTCCAGGGATGGGGACTCTACCACCTCCCTGGGCAGCCCATTCCAACGCCTAACAACCCCTTCTGGAAAGAAATGCTTCCTGACATCTAGTCTAAACCTTCCCTGGCACAACTTGAGGTCATTCCCTCTTGTCCTATCGCTTATATCTTGGTTAAAGAGACTCATCCCCAGCTCTCTGCAACCTCCTTTCAGGGAGCTGTAGAGGGCGATGAGGTCTCAGTCTCCTCTTCTCCAGACTAAACCCCCCCAGTTCCCTCAGCCGCTCCCCGTATGACCTGTGCTCCAGACCCTGCACCAGCTTCGTTGCCCTTCTCTGGACATGCTCGAGTCATTCAATGTCCTTTTTGTAGTGAGGGGCCCAAAACTGAACACAGGAATCGAGGGGCGGCCTCACCAGTGCCGAGGACAGGGGTCAGATCCCTTCCCTGTCCCTGCTGGCCACGCTATTGCTGACACAAGCCAGGATGCCATTGGCCTTCTTGGCCCCCTGGGCACACTGCTGGCTCCTGTTCAGCCGGCTGTCAATCAACCCCCCCAGGTCCCTCTCTGACTGGCAGCTCTCCAGCCACTCCTCCCCAAGCCTGTAGTGCTGCTGGGGGTTGTTGTGGCCCAAGGGCAGCCCCCGGCATTTGGCCTTATTGAAACTCCTCCAGTTGGCCTCAGCCCATGGCTCCAGCCTGTCCAGGTCTCTCTGCAGAGCCTCCCTACCCTCGAGCAGATCAACACTCCCACCCAACTTGGGGTCATCTGCAAACTGACTGAGGGTGCACTCGATCCCCTCGTCTAGATCATCAGTAAAGATGTTAAACAGGGGTGGCCCCAAAACTGAGCAGTGGGATGTCCTGGAGGACACCACTTGTGACCGGCTGCCAACCAGATTTAACTCCTTTCACCACAACTCTTTGGGCCCGGCCATCCAGACAGTTTTTTACCCAGCAAAGCCTGTGCCTATCCAAGCCTCGAGCAGCCAGTTTTGCCAGGAGAATACTGTGGGAAACGGTGTCAAAGGCCTTACTAAAGTCAAGGTAGACAACATCCACAGTCTTTTGCTCATCTAATAAGCAGGTTGCCCTGTTGTAGAAGGAGATCAGGTTTGTCAAGCAGGACCTGCCTTTCATAAACCCATGCTGACTGGGCCTGAGCATCAGGTTATTCTGCACGTGTTGTATGATGGTACTCAGGATGAGCTGCTCCATCAGCTTCCCAGGCACCGAAGTCAAGCTGACAGGCCTGTAATTTCCCGGATCATCCTTATGACCCTTCTTATAGATGGGCATCACATTGGCCAATTTCCAATCTGTTGGGACCTCCCTGGTCAGCCAGGACTGATGGTAAATGATGGAAAGCAGCTTGGCGAGCACCCCAGCCAGCTCCTTCAGCACCCTCGGGTGTATCCCATCTGGTCCCATAGACTTGTGTGTGTCTGTGTGATGCAGTAGGTCACTGACTGTCTCCTCCTGGAATGCTGTGGGGTCGTTCTCCCAGTCTCTGTCTTCTGGCTGATGAGGCTGGATTCCCTCAGTACAATTAGTTTTGTTATTAAAGACTGAGGCAAAGAAGGCATTAAGGACCTCAGCCTTCTCCTCATCACTTGTTACCATGTTTTCTCCCACATCTAGCAGGGGATGGAGGCTCTCCTTGGTCTTTCTTTTGCTGTTGATGTATTTATAGAAATATTTATTGTTATCTTGACTGCTGAAGCCAGATTAATTTCTAACTGGGCTTTAGACCTCCTGATTTCCACCCTGCATAGCCTCACAGCATCTTTGGAATCACCATGATTGGCTAGCCCCTTCTTCCTAAGGCCGTAAACTCTCCTTTTCTCTCTGAGTTGCAGCCAAAGCTCCCTGTTTAGCCAGGGTGGTTGTCTCTGCTGCTGGATTTTCTTACAGCACCTGGGGACAGCCTGTTCCTGTGCCATTAAGACTTCCTTCTTGAAGAGCGCCCAGCCTTCCGGGGCCCCTATACCCTTCAGGATTGTCTCCCAAGGGATCCTGTCAAGCAGGTGCCTAAACAAGTCAAAGTCAGCCCTTTGGAAGTCCAGGATGTCAGTTCAGCTGCCCCGTCTCCTGGCCTTTCTAAGAATAGAGAACTCTATTTAAATTTCATGATTGCTGTGCCCTAGTTGGGCTCCAGCTGCCACATCCACCACCAGTCCTTCTCTGTTCACAAAGAGGAGATCCAGCAGGGCACCTTCTCTGGTTGGTTCTCTCACCAGCTGCACCAGAAAGCTATCTCCCACACATTCCAGGAATCTTCGGGACTGGTCCCGCTCTGCTGTGTTGTATTTCCAGCATATGTCTGGGAAGTTAAAGTCTCCCACAAGAACAAGGGCAAATGATCATGAGTTTTCTCCTAAATGCCTATAGAATATTTCACTCACTTCTCTCCTGGTTGAGTGGCTTATAATGGACTCTCACTACAAAATCTGCCCTGTTGACCTTCCCCCGATTCTAATGCAAAGACACTCCACCCTGTCTTCACTACTCTTGTGCTCAAAGCAATCCTAACAGTCCCTAATTTACAGCACCACCCCACTGCCTCTCCTTCCTTGTCTATCCCTGTTAAAGAGCTTGTAGCCATCAATTGGCACACTCCAGTCATGGGAGACATCCCACCACATTTCTGTGATAGCCACTAGATCATAATTTTGCGGCTGCATCACGGCTTCAAGCTCGTCCTGTTTATTACCCATGCTGTGTGCATTGGTATACATGCACTTCAAATGGGCTGATGTCCCCAGCACCTTTTCACATTTAGAAGTCCTAAGTCCAGCCTGACCCTTCACAGGTGTTACCATGGTTACTGATCCGTCAATATCCCTTGCATCTTTGTTGTGCTGCATGTCTCCATCCCTTGCCTCCACTGAGATGGCAGGGTGAGGGTTGAGATGACAGGGTGAGGGTCATTGCTGGCACAACATCCTACAAACTCTGATAATCTACCCTGGAGCTTATATCTGGGAGCTCAATTTTTGTCCCTTTCCCCCTTCAAATCTGGTTTAAAGCTCTCTCAATGAGCCCAGTTAACTCCTGCCCCAAAATCTTTTCCGTCTCTGAGACAGGTGCATCCCATCTGTCGCCAAAGGTCTGACATCCTATATACTAACCTGTGATTGAAAAATCCAAAGCTCTGCTGCTAATACCAGTCTTGGAGCCACAAGTTCATCTGTTCAGTTCTCCTGTAGTCTTCCTCATCCATCCCTGCAACTGAAGGGGTGGAGGACACTATTTGTGCCCCCGACCCCTTAACCAGTTTCCCCAAGGCCCTGATATCTCTCTTCATTGATTTTGGACAACTCTGGGTAATATTTCTACCTACCTGGAAAAAAAAAAAAAAAAAAAAGTAGAGATCTGATATAAATTTAGAATGGAGTTCAGCACTTCTTGTTTTACTCAAACACTACAATTTCTGATCATCATTAATACTGGGATACTCAATTATAGGAGATCACAGAATCACAGAATGGTTGAGGTTTAAAGGGACCTCTGGAGGTCATCTGGTCCAACACCTCTTCTCTAGCAGAACCACTGTTTTTGCTCAAAAACATGTCCAGGTGGCTTTTGAATATCTCCAAGGATGAAGACTCCACAATATCTCTGGGCAATCTGTGCCAGTACTTGGTCACCCTCACAGTAAAAAGTGTTTCCTGATGTTCAGAGGGAACCTCTCATGTTTCAGTTTGTGGTCATTGCCTCTTGTTCTGTCTCTAGGCACCACTGAAAGAGGCCTGACTCCATCTTCTGTACACCCTTCAGGTATTTACGTACATGACAAAAGTCCCCCTGAGCCTTCTCTTCTCCACCCTGAATGGCTCTTGGTCTCTCAGCCTTTCCTCATATGAGAGATGCTCTAGTCCCAGTTCATTAATCATCTTAGCAGTGATGTTCTGGACTCTTTACAGTACGTCCATTTATCACTTGCCCTGGGGACCCCGGCACTGGACAGAGCAGTCCAGGTGCAGATTCACCAGTGATGAGTAGAGGGGAAGGATCATCTCCCTTGATCCACTGGCAACACTCCTCCTAATGCAGCTCAGGACAGCACTAGCTACCTTTGCAGCAAATGCATATTGCTGGCTCATGTTCAGTGTTTGGCAGTATGGGGAAAAAAAAAAAAAAGGTAGTGTTTAAGAATTTTAGTTTTAAAGTTGATTTTATTTTAGAAAAACTTCTATTTTGTTAAGGAGTTTGTAAAGGAAAGCTATTAAATCTGTACCAGACCAAGAGGAATTCAAAGTCATTAGCTATGGGACTGTAAACCAGTCCTTTAAAGGTCCATTTAATAGCAAACTGCCACTCCATGATAGGTTTTCATCAACAGTTAAAGTATAGAAAGACCAGTTATATCAAGGAGAAAAGCAAAATCCCCCATTTGTGACAGACTATGATGATTTTATTTTTAACTATACTAGGCATTTATCACCTCATTCATCTTCTGTGAAAGGAACATAGGCAGCATGTTAAAGGGTCAAGTGGATTATTCTTCCTGATACTGAAAAAAGTGTTCCCCACTATACTTTTTTGGGAGCATGTTCATTGAAATTGTACCTACCTTTCACACCTCACTGACCATATATTTTACAAGTAAAACTAGTAGTTGTT